CCTTGAACGAGAAAAAGAGTGGTCAGAATGGAAAAACAAAAACTGTTTTGATTACACGTTGCTGGCTGATAAGGACAAGAGCGGTGTGTTTAAAAGGTTTGTTGATATTTTTTTGTAGATCTGGCTATTGCATGCTTTGTAGGGAGGAACAGAAATTTATTGTTTTTGAATACTAATTTGTTAAGGTTTCAGTCTGTTAATTTACTGTTTTAGTACTGATTCGTATAGAAGCGGCATAACCAATGTTTTTAATTAAAATTATTTTGTTAATTTTTGGACGGTTTCTAAAGTGATCAGTGTGGTCATTTCGTGTCGCATTTTTGTGTTTAACTGAATCAAAACGAGTAGTGTAGGTGTTGTTCATATAGCCCTACAAGTGAGAGTTTTACTTGGCCGAAGCCAGTAGAAATGGAATAATTGGTAACTGATGGAGGCTGAAATTACGTCACTAATTTATGATGAACATTTTTACTAGTTTTTATTAGTGGCGAGTCACCAAAACTAATTTTTTTTTATTTTAAGGACGCCTTATAACTTAAGAGTCGTCGTTTCAGTATAGAGCAGAAAGTATTTTTTTGTTTATACGGTTTTTAAAAGTGGCCTCTTCTTTTTTCTTGTACATCAGCAGCTTTAACTCACACTTCTCTCTAAATGTTTGGCCTTTTCGTTTTGAACAGTTAAAAAATTTTTCAGCTTCTGGATTACTAAAGCAAACAGATCTTATTTTTTTAGATACAAGTCATTTTAGTTATGAGAATAAGAATCGAAAAAAAATATAAGAATTTATTTTTTTTCATAATGGCGCTTTTAGACGACCGAGGGCGAGGTACGATGCATCCAAATTGGATTTGGGTAACCAAGAGTTGACAAAATTGTGGAACATAGACCCTGACATGTTATCTGCTTGTGAAGATGCAAAAAGGTTTTTAATTTGTTATGGTTTTATTGAGTTTGATCTTTGAAAATTTTGGTGGTAAACTTTTATGTAAAGTAAATTGTGCTGTTGGCTTTTCTACACAGATTTTTGTAGAGACCTCCATGGTTCTTGCTGTCTTTTCATTATTTTAAAATTATTGTAATTTTCTATGAATAGACGTTTCGCTCCTGCTGTACTTGACTTTATACGAGATCCATTGGACGAGCTAGATCCACAGCAACAAGTTGAGGACCAGTACAAGTTAGTGGTTAAGAGACATTGATTGGAATTTTGATAAATGATGCTTTTCTGGGCGTAAAAGTATTTTTGTTGCGTTACACAATTTGTAAATTTGTTTTCGCCCAGGTTTTCAAGCGACAGTAGAAAAGTTTATGGATTTTTATTCGTTTCTGTATTTAAGGTCTATAAATAACGAAGCTTTCCAGTGGAGAGCGACAAGGCTATTGATGTATCATAGCCCTGCATATTTCCAGGTTCTTCTTGTTTTTATTGGATGGGTGACTGTAATTTTGAATTACATTTTTCACGACTTTGTTAAAAAAGGTTATAAAGTATTGATATGGTGTTTTCTGTCAACTAGTCTCTTGTGTTATTTTAACGTTTTTGCGGTTCTTTAGTTACCTTCAAAAAAGAACGAGGTGATATCAGCTATAGGACCATTCCTGGAGGAAGTTATTAAACAGACGGCTTCTGCAGTCCCCGTACTATTTTATCTCTTCTTACTTCTTTCATGGAAGTTTTCTTTTTTGACTTATTTAAATAACTACCGTTTAGGATCTAAACTCCGTCGGGTCCGATGCTATACGTAATGGTACTTCAGATACTGCTAAAGAAGTGATTTCTAGTAGCCACGCGGAACTTAAACATATTTTACAAAACGGGTTGGTAACATAATTTCTTTATTTTTCCAGCTCTCTTTA